GCTGTGCTGCCGCTGATTCTGCAAGCACTAAGGGGCTCGCGGTGCCGGGAAGCCCTGCCGCCTGCGCTGGGCGGCTCGGTGCTGCAGCCGGCCTGCGCGCACCGCGGCCCGGGCGTCCCCGGCGCCGTTCCCGGGGACAGCCAGCTGTGCTGCCGCTGATTCTGCAAGCACTAAGGGGCTCTCGGTGAAATTCTGCTCTGAATTACACCTCACAATCCATTCCTCTTCTGCAAACCCAATTAATTCCCGTTTCCTCCGCCTTACTGATTCCCAAGACTGAAGAGAATTAGTCACCTAGCTTGTCAAATCCATCCTGGATGTTAATTAACAATCTGTGGCGGTAAATCAGAAAACTACAAAACTGGAAACGCCGCAGCATCAATTATGGTGGTGTTGAAGCTGACATGTGAGGAGCTGACACCTAGTCGGTTGTATTTCAGCATGTTTGACGGACTATCACGAAAGAAGTGGATGGTAGCCTAGGACAGGGGTCCCCACTCTTTGAGACTATAGATAACTTATTTTAAAAAAGTAAATCGTAGAACCCTCCCGCCACCCACCCCCCTCTTTGTCCAAAAAGACTCAGGATGGCTAAGGGCTACCACAAAGTGAGGAAACCATGTTACGTGGCTCCGAATGCCAGCAGACCTGTACACGAGCCGTGGCTCATCTATGGACAACACACACGCTCGGGACCCAGTCTACAGGGACCGATGACAAGGGAGATTTAGAAGCAGAAGTTGGCAGAGCCCCAAGATCCAAGAAAAGCCTCCCTGGCCTACCTTAGATACAGAGTTTCGCTAGAGAGAAGATGGACATACCAGGATAAGAGTTCCATAGCATTTAAATAGTAGCTGCTCTTCTCAATGTCCAATCCACGATTATTAAGCAACTTTATGACACTGATTTGGCTTCCAAGTGACTACAGCCTCCTTAAGAAACCTTTCAGAAAAATGGGTCACAGACAATAATCATTAGTGTAATAATTAGGTTGTCCGAATTTATAATATTAGGTTTCTACCTTGAAGATGTTCGTTGGGACATATGTGCTCAGAAATTGCTCTTACGGTATATGTGGAATTTTCCTTATGTGATAACTTCAGCCAGGTATGGTGAAACATGCCCGTAGTCCCAGTGCTTGGAGACTGTGGCAAGAGGATTGTTGATTTGAGCTTAGCCTGGATAATTTAACAGTTCCATGTGACTATCTGAAAATTTAAAAAATTTAAAAGGGCTGGAGTATGAAGGCCTTGACTTTAATTCCCGCCCCAATACGGACCAAAAATAACAAAACCCTTCAATATTCCCTTCTTTTATGGATTAAGTCTGTGTGTCCTAATGTGTCATAAATAACACATCCTTAAAGCAAATTTCAGGTTGACCATGATGTACTAATGCAGTTAGACAACCTGGACACAAGGTATTAACGTAAGTTCTAAATAACTTAGGTTTGTATTAGGAAGACAAACATAAATTAGCAACAAATGTGCCCTTGGTGACACATGCCATGAAGAAAAACGGGAAAAGGCTGGCAAGGGATTTGGGGTGGCCACTGTTTTATCATAAAATGAGGCTCCCTAAGGGGAGCAAGGGAGCGTGCAGATGCCCGGGGGTTGAGCATTTCAGGCAGAGGAAACTGCAAATGCAGACGCTAAGCAGAAAGCATATTTAGAATGAAAGTGGAGGCCAATTTATGTGTGAGTAAAAGGAGATTGGACAGACAGTTCATGTTTAAAAAGCAGTGATCAGGAAGAGTATAAAAGGATAAAATTGAAAAAGGTAAAAATCTCCATAAAGAGCAGGGAATGGAAACCGCAGAGCCTAGGGTGCCACACGGCTAAGTTACAAGTGCATCTGACGAGAGACCACGATGGGATTATATCCTCTGTCGAGCTCTTCTAACCCCTGCCCTTTAGGCTGTGGAAAGACACTGATTTTTAAATTATTTAAGCATTTTAAGTGGATGCAGGCAAAAGGTAAAACATTCAAACAATAGACTGCTCTGTACAATGGCCCACAAATCCCCCTCACTGCCTGATTCTAGTTTTTCCCATAGACACTGCCATTACTTTTCTGTTGTCCCCTTTCAGAGATATCCAGGTCTTTATAATCACATACAGTGGTTGAGGTCCACCCCAGTATGGACCAACAACAATCTCAGTGGAATATATATATATATTACCCCACTTTGTGCACAAATGGTAGAGTTACACACTCTGTTGTGTACCTTGTTTTTGCCATCCAGAATATTCTGGTGACCATTCCATAGCAGCATGCCCAGTATTCCTTCCAAAGCCCACGTCAGAGTCTACTGGAGGCAAAGCACTGAGATCCGAACCCCTGGGCCCTCATTTTTGATCTGTCGAGATCTGTACTACTCAACTCACTGCAAAGAGTCATGTCTATCACCATAACATACTTGATTAAAGTACATGATTTCGCATGTGGATTCGTATAATAGTTGCTTAATTGATTTTATTGCCAGTCTTCCAGTACCTCTATAAAATATTTGATGCTTAGGCCAGCCAGATAGCTCAGTGAATTCAAGCACCTGCTTAGGGAGGTGCGGGATCTGGGGGCTTGATCTTGGCCTGTCTTGCTGGCCCTGCCCCTGGGGCACGCTGAGATGGCGTGGTGGCAAATGCCTGTAATCTCAGCGCTTGGGAGGCTGAAAACAGGAGGGTCACTATGAGTCCCATCTGTATAGCGAGACTCTGTAGACCCTGTACTAAATACATAAAAAAATTGATGCTTAGAAGACAGAGTGGTCATAAAAAGATGAATCAAATCTGTTATGAACCTGATATGAAGAGTTTGTAGATCACATTTCCAAGCCATCTTAGAACAATGTTAAAGGTATTTTTAAGGCATTTTCAAAATTAAGTGCCAGAATATGAAGATATTTATAATCTGTAATCTACCAGAAGGTATTCCAAAACTGAAAATGTAATGTAAGATCTTATTTCTGGATAAGAAAGATGTACTTATATGTATCCACTTCACTGGCCCTTGAGTGGCTGGATATTTGGTTGATTGTTATTCCGGTTATATTTGTGAAGGTGATTTTAGATAAGGTTAACTTATGAATTGGTAGACTAATTAAAGGAGATTGCCCTTTGCAACCTGTGTAGTCCTCATCTTATCAGTTAAAAGCTTGAATAGAATTAAAAAGTTGAATATCCCTCAAATAGGGAAATTATGTTTGTTTGACTTCTTTGAGCTTTTTTCCTGGCCTTCAGGCTCCAACTGAAGCAGTCTGCTGACTTTCATCCAGACAAACAGGCAGCTCTGCGCTCTCTAGCAGATCCCCATGCTGCTCGGCTCCCATAAGCACATAAGCGAGTACTTCTTACACCTGCATCTCTATATTGTACACACACACATGCACATACACACATCCTACTGATTCTGTATCTCTGAAGAAATCTTACAATGGATTAAGCAAATATTACCCTGTCTCTTCCTCCACCCCCAAATGCAGCTCTAAAACATTTGGAAGGCTGCATGGAGTTCCTGTTTGAAGACAATGAGGAGTAGGTAGCAACAGGTGATTGGGAAAAACTATGATTTAAAGTATTACTCAATATAAGTTTACCCTTTCTTCTTCAAGCACCCCAGCTTGGACTCAGGCAGTCCAAAGTCCAGAAATGTCCACTAGGATGATAGCAGATCACAAATGGGACTTTATTTCAGTGACAATAGAATTTAAAACTGAGGCAAAAACCTAGGTTTACAAGCAAAGGCTTTGAGAAGGAGAGAAATGTGGAAATTAAGCATAAGGAGAAGCAAAGTTGAACAGGACACCACTCAGTTAAAGAAGCTTAGCCTGCTGTATCCTTCCACTACGTATTCCTGCTTAGAGCCAGCTTACTGGCCTATTAACACAGGAAGAGGACAAGATTAGTGGGCTTTGTGGTGTAGGCGAGGGTCTGATTGATCTTTTGGGGGGCTCTGGGTTTGCAAGGTAACTCTGGCAAAGTCTTTATCACCTGGGGGCAACTTGATTCCTACGAGATGACTGCTCTTCTTTGGCAGGAGGCAGCCTCAGTTCTATGTAGGATGTGCTGGAGTCCAAGGCAGCCGCAAGTTTAGGGCAGTGACTAGAGA